GATATTATAAGCAATTTTTAAATTAAGAAATAAGTAACCTTAGGCCCTAGTATCTACTAAAGCGTTTAGGCAAATACTAGATCTATTAAGGTATAGGGTTGTACGTGTAAGTAAATAGGAACTAAAAAATAATTTAGTTAAGGAAAGGTTTAATAGGTTATATTAAGTTAGGCCTAGGAAGGAGAATCCTCCTAGGCGTTGTTGTTTCCTATCTAATAGCTATCTGAATTAGTTAATTTAGCAGTATCTTCTTCCTTAGAATTCTTAGTAACCTATTCTATATCTATAGCCTAAATCCTAGGGGGTTTAGGGTAGTTACTAGAGAAGTGCCTAGGCTTTCTATAATTATAGCAAGTTACTAGGGTTCCTATTGTAGTAGCGCTAGGAGTGGCTAGCGTAGTAGATAGGGGTTAATTATTTTAAGGGGTAGTACCTTATTATTATAAGTAGGGTATATAAGGTTTAGCTATTAAAGGTCTATTATAGGGTTTCTAATTAGCGTCTAAATAAGACTAGTTTCTAGAGTATAGGAAGGGGGTTAGTCCTTTTCTAGATAATAGAGTAGTCTAGGTAGGAGTAGATAAGGTAGGGTATAGGCGGCGTTCTATATTAAAAGCGGTAAGATAATCTACTATAGTCTTAAAATTATTATGCTAATTCTGTTAGAAAGTAAGGTTTAGTATCCTTAGGGAAGGTGTAATCTTTATCTAGAGGTAGTAATACTACTCTAATTAGGGTACTTCTCCTCTAATAGCAAGACTCTAGAATTATAACTTAAAAGTAAGGAATATCTCTATATTAGTTATATATAGGTAGTTAAATATAGTCTAACTCTTAGCTATCTTATTTCTAGTAATAAAGTAAGTTTAAAGGAGGGTAATTATTTCCTTAGCTTTTTAGAATTAAAGACTTAGGGAATTAGATAGGTAACGTGGCTCTAAGTATTCTCTTGCTAGTCCTAAGTAGTGTCCCTAGACTAACGCTATCTAAGCTCTAGAAGAGGGGTAGTAATTAGTGTTAATCTCTAGCCTATCCTAAATAGATGCTTGCTATTATCTAAAAGTAGGATTAGCACTATTACTAAGTATAGAGATATTTAGCATCTTTTTAGATTATCTCTTAGCTTTTATAGTATATACTATAGGGTTTAATATAGAAGCTAAAGACTAGCTAGGTTAGGTAGTACCCTATATCTCCTTATAGAGGGAGGTGTTATACAACTAATTAGTAAGTTGCTTAACTTGTTCCTCTAACCTCTTCTTTTTAGATAGGGTTAATATATATTTATCTTTAAGGGAGGTATTGCTTTAAGATTTCCTAGGAGCATAAGGTACCTTAAGATCGATATAGATAGGAAGAGGGTCCTTTAAGGAGGGCGTTGTTAATTAAGTCTTCCTTATCTAATTTCTTTCTATTAGTAAATAGGCTTTTAAAAGTAGCTAAACTAGATACCCTTTCTTTACCTTTGTCTAATATTTTATAGTTAATAAGAATAATAAATCTTTTCTTTAGGGGGGGGTTTGGTTATAGGAGGATATTAGCTTTGCCTCTAATTCCTCTAGGCTTTTAGTAGTCTCTAGGTCTCTACCTTAACGCAATCTAACGCGATTTTTCTAAAGGTAATCTAGCACTACCTATAGGTCTAGAAGTCTAAGCCTATAGGCTTTAGTTATTAGAAGTTCTAATAGCTATTCTAACTATAGAGTTACAGGGTTAGGTAGCTACTAGAACTAAATTAGTAGCTTAAAATTACAATAAATGCAATATTCTTAAATACTATTACTAGCTAGGATAATATTCTTCTTATAATATAATAACTTAGGTAGGTAGGGTATCTAAAAGGTATCCTATATAACTTAAAGGTATATAGGAGTGCGCGTCTGTATAGAAAAGGATAAGATTCCTATACCTATAGGTCTAGTATAAAAGGACAAGAAGAACATGCCTATCCTAACTATAGGCGAGCTGTTCTCTATATACATTAGTGAGTCGGGCCTTTATTGGGCCTGACTTGGCATGGAACAATGGGCAGGCAATTCTGCCTTATTGTTACAGCAGAGAGCCTAGGCTCACAACCTAATGTGATAAGAAAGTATTAATTAAAGAATCTATAGACGAAGAAGCTAAGGTGGCTAGATATAGATATCCCTACTAGTCCCAAAATAGGTGTCTCCTAGACAACCCGGACAGGGGAGTCTCCACCATTGGTGGTGGGCAGTTACTACCTCGGTATAAGGTAAGCACTATGGGTGATATAGAAACAACACAGCCGACCTATCGTATCACACAGCGTTGTTTCATATGGGATACGAGATGAGATAGAACACAAATGTCACGAGCAAGCTTGGCTCAGATCAATTGATTTTCATCAGCAGACAGGAAGTGATCTCGGTGCTCACAGATAAGCGAGAAGTAGCGATCGAAAATATTCCGAGAATCAGGTGATGTGGTCTCACGAATCTCTTGCAAGCAAAAGAGTATTAGAGCGCGGTTGCTACATGTTAGGTATGTTCACAGAAAGCGTTAACAACAAATAGACAGACTTATGCAAGGTACAATATATTTATAGGCAATTATCTTCTGCAGCTTGATGACTTAAAACTTCCATAATTATATTAAACGACACTACGGTACAAAACTGGTTTACAGTAGCCATATTTATCTAAAGTAGACTAAGAAGTGGTTTAGGTAGAAGAAGTAAACCTAAATAGGGTTTATTATACTATGTATTCTATAAAAGTAAACTACTTTTATTTCTACTTCTATTAATCTACTAGTATTACGTAGTAATACCTAGTTTCCTACTATTTAAGTATTTTACCCCTCCTTTCTTTAATCTTCTTCACCACCTCTATCACCACCTCCACCACCTCCACCACCTCCACCACCTCTACTACCTCTACCACCTCTACTACCTCCACCACCTCTACTACCTCTACCACCACCTCCACCACCTCCACCACCTCTTTTATCACCACCTCAACAACTTCTACCACCACAT